CTCTCCTCTCTCTCCCTATGCTTCTATATGCCACCATTACACATTACTAACTTTTTGTTTCCTCTCTCCCGTAGTGTGTCCTCTCTCTCTCCCTGTACCTTTCTGCAGGTTGCCCTGGCCCTGGAGCTCTACGTCTCTGACGAGCAGTCACCAGCCACATCGACCTGATCAGTGTTTGATTGTTGTGTCTTGTTGCTTTTCTTCTTTTGTCTCTCCTCTATCCACTCACCCCAACCGGTCGAGGCAGAAGGCCGCCCACCAAGAGCCGGGGTCTGTCGGAGGTTTCTTCCGTTAAAGGGAGTTTTTCCTCCCCACTGTCGCCAAGTGCTTGCTCAAGGGGGATTTGTTAGGTTTTCCCTATGTAATAAAATTGATAACAGTAAGGTCTAGACCTTACTTTGTAAAGTGTCCTGAGATGACTTTTGTTGTGATTTGGCGCTATACAAATAAAATTTGATTTGATTTTTGCATGTTGTGAAGTGTAGTGCTCAGCTGCGTATTCATTAAGGTGCTGCTCCCACTGGCCCCTGGACCCATCTGTGCTCTATGTTTATGCCTCTGTCTCTTGAGACTGTCCCATTCGGGCTGCATGTGCCATTTCCTGTGTAAACCAACACCTGTGTAACATACTACCTGTAAACTGCCCCACACAGACGAGACACTGACATTCACTCAGACGAAAATCTGCAAATGTTGTGGTTTCTAAAGCAGAACCTCCAGGGTGAGGACGGGAGCCGAGCGAGAGCTACCTCTCACTGTAGAGATGAGGCTAAAAGCAGCTCCTGCTGTTGTATTTTTTTTAATTTTTTTATCCCCTGCTGTCGACCGGGAAGTTTTTCTGGCACGAGGGTTGTGCTAGTGTGTTTTAGAACTTGATTGGATTCTATATCTGCAACATGCAGAAGTGTACAGTGTGTGACATACTAAGGCAATATGCAGAGAGATGATTCCGCTCTGACATCTTGGAGAGGAGTACGAGTCAATTATGCCCAAGTGTTGTTCTTGCTTATCTTCCTGCGGCACCAAACAAGGATTTAGTCAAGGATTTAGGGGTGAGGGGGCGGTGGTGGGGATCATGGTAAGCGGTTCACAACAAAACACTCAAAACTCCTGGGAGCGGGCACTGATTTAAAAATAAATTACAGAAGACGAAGCGCTAACACTCAAGGGCCCTCAGCAGTGCTGGCGTACACAGGTGAAGATTAGCCTCCTCACTAATCAGAGGAACAAGGCAGTAATTTGCTCTGAACACAGACAGTAATTAGGACTTGGTGACACTGGATTCCCATAATGCCTTTGTGCTTGACGTGGTCAAATTTTGACAGAGGCTATCCATGCAGGGTCACTGTCCCCCCCAGTCTCTCGGCCCTCTTCAGTTGAGGCTCTAAAAGGTCCCTGCAGTTACAGGGGATCCCTAATGTACTTTATGCCTCCCTCACTGGCTCCTTACCATTCGGGTAATTGGAATCTCTTACTGTGGCACTTGAGAATAGAGGCTAAAAACGCTATTTGAAACTGCTCAGTAGTCTGTTGTAGATAAACATTGCTGCGGTGGGGTGTGGATACACTACATAATGGAGTAAGAGTTAAGGCTCTGGTAATACATGTCTTCACTGACTCCTGTGGCTAGCCAGTTGGGAGAAGACCTAATTGTTGTGTGCTTTGCTGCCTACTCTGCAGTATTTTACCACCACCTTTATGTATTGGATTGAGTGTTGCAGCCTCTTTGGTGGACATTCGCTAATAAGAGTTGCTGGATATCTAGAGAGCAGTTTATCCGGCCCAGTTGTTTTTAGTTTGAAACAGCGGAGCACAAAACGCATGCCCCACACAGCAGAGCAGGAAGCATTCCTTACAGCTTACCACTCCAAAAGCTCTCGACTGTAGTGTTGCGGCAGCTAGATAGGCATCTGAATGATCTTCAAATGGTTGAACGAGCTGCATTGAACAAGTGGCTTACAATTGTATCACAGCCTTTGGCTCAGAGACCATCAGGATCTTGACATTCATAGAGACATGTTGTATTTTTTCCCCCCTTTTTAGACAGTCATTTTAGGCTTTTTTCATGCTCTCTTGAGTCTTTGACGTCTGCGAGTTAAGTATCTGCAGCTATAAGGCTGAGGAAAATATTGGACTACTCTTGGCCTTTTCTATTTCATCCTCTGACCCGCCATGTTACCCATGATCGGTGAAGGAGAACTCTGGCAGGCTGTGTCAAAAGTGACAGCCAATCGAGTCAGGATGAGCACCATCACGCTTCACAGGATGGAGGCTTGAGTTCTGAGTTTTTCCCCTTTTTGTGCAATATACTATTACACCCTTCGCCAGATTCCTTTCAGTTAGATCCTGTGGTTAACCTGTTTTCATTCTTACATCCACAGCTAATAGAAAAAGTCTTTCTGAAGTCTTGTGTGACTAGAGAAACAAAATATGCCAAAGCAAATTGACAAATTTAATGTTCTCTTCTTTTATTCCCTCTCTCTCTCTTTTGTCTCCTTTGATTGTTTCTTCCAGGTTGAATGAAATAACCTTCAACATTATATAAATGCCCAATTCATTCTTTATATTAGAGTTGGAAAATAGGTAGAACTCCAAATGACTCCCCACTTTACACAGCAATGATTTATGGTAATTGGAAATTGATTGTGACAGGAGCACAATATTAGAAATTTTCTCAAATCAAAATCTTCTATCAAGGGAAATATTCTTTTATAGTGCAGCAGGTTCTGGCTAGTTTGGAATTACTTTCTTATTTCCTTACCTGTGATGAAACAGTAAACGCCTGAAAGACACTTAAAAAAGATTTTAACTAGTCAAAAGGTAATAATTATTCATTGAATTGTTTATTCAAGGTTAAAACACTTGTTAAACGCTGATATTGAAGTAGTGTCTATAATCACCACTAATGATAATTCTTAGTTTTTATACAGGGGAGTGCAGTTGCTTTAAGACAATGTAAGGATTGCTTCTCCTTTGAGTTTCTTTGTAATTAATCTAACATTTATTACACATCTGTAATCTCTCATTTGAAGGTTATAGTTTCTAATGTGCCAACCTGGACTCTACAAAAATCACATGTTGCTGCATGTTTTGTAACTCAGTGAAATGTTGCCATCGCAGGAGAGCTACTGCCCACATGTTCTTTAAAAAACAATCCCCTATCGCAGCTAGAGGTGACAGACTTCAGTTCAACTGATGTTGTTCCACTTTTATTTATTTATTTTGGTGTTGTTTACCAGCCATGACATGTACTGCATTGCATTAACTTTTACTACTGTCAACGTTGTATCACTCGGAACACCTTTAGAAGCAGGCACATCCATAACGGAGGGCTGAGGGGAGAGGAAAATTAGCCGCGGTGACAAGTCTGAAGTGTGAGTTGGAGGTCAAAGGTGGCAAGCCTTAAGCAAAGGTGCTCTAGCCTTTGTCCAGTAGATTGTAAGGGCCTGCAGGTCCAACAGGAACATTTCCACACACAATATCCCCGAGCTGTTGGGTGGGTGGTGGGGAGCTAAAAGAGCTGGAGTGGGAGGATAGAGAAAAAAAAATTGGGAGGGGGGATAGGGGCTGAGGAGGGAGAGCTGGGGGATGGAGGGGAGGGATAGAAAGGAGAGACAATGACAAGTAGGGGCTGGCTGGGCACTCACCCATGCCGACAGAGATTGCCATGAGCCATGGCCATTGTTTGAACAGGTCTCAGTACAGGACCCGCCGGTGGGTTTCTGAGTTCTCACCACTCAACTATAAACTGCTGTGTGGTTTATTTAGAAACGAGAGTATTTACACCTTTTACTGTATTTACACCCACTGTTAAACGGCACCCAGGAGATTTTCATCATACAGCCACAAACAAGCAGGCAGAGCAGTTCTCTGAAAACTGACCTACTCAGTCATAACACTCCAGTAAACCTCAGCTTCACATGTCCAATATAAAAACGCTGCTCAAACTGTGACCTGCAGAAGTGTAAAAACACTTTAGGGCCGTGTTGTTACGGCGGGCAGGAAAGAGACGGTCTGTGTGTTTAACAAAGTAAATGTCTATTATTAATACCATACAGGATAAGCCAATTTTGAAAAAGGGGCACTTAAATGGTGAAATTATTTATTTATAAGTCCTGTACACCAGTTAATGGAATTGGCGGACTGTTTTAGATCCACAACACAGCTTGAGGTCCACTTTGCAGTAATGCACATGCTAAGAGAGGAACTTCCCAGTAGGGTCTTTAAGTGTCAAATATGGGTCAGTCTGCTTGCATTGACCTGGGGGGTGGTCAGCCACGGAGGGAAATTCAGCTGTTAAGTGATGCCAACTCAACCATCGGCAAATTCCTCCAAGCATCTACTCATGCTAAGATGCATGTCCAAGTGCATTGCTTTGCTGGCCAGCACCGCTCTGGCCAAAAAATCCATTTATTCTTGTCATGAACTATAAACCAGACCCAAGCACAGCTGAAACTGCAGTTAATGCTGTGCTCTTAACTTTTTCCAATAGCTGCTGCAAGACTTTTGAAAACAGTTTTTTAGAGACCGTTCTGCTTTCTTTAACTTGTTTGAAATGAACTGTTAGCGCTTTTCCTTATGAACTGACAGTGTTTTCTTTCATACTCTATCCTGCTGCACTTCATATAAATGTATATATTTACTGTAACAAATGTCTGGATTACTGTCTGTATATTTTCTTGAGCTTCTTTCTGTTTTTCGTGGCTCTGATGCTTGTCATATCCCAGTGATAGGAGCAACGCTGAAGCCTATGACTTTAGGTTTTAAACGTGTCTTGATTTACAACTTTACTTTCTTTCAGCAAATTATGTCATCTTGTGTCTGTGTCACCCGTGGCATGTTATTACACTCTTGTGACATATTTTAGCACTGTTCAACCAAGAACTGGGTGTTATGATTGCTCCTCTGATCCCCGCCTCACCTCCCCACACTGCCTTATATCCCTCACAGGAGCAGCAAGGCCCCCCTGAGCTGTGTGGTCAACGATAGCCTGGCAGAAACGAGCCACGAGTTGCAGCGCTGCGTTGAATGGCTCCAGGCGTACTTCAGTGAGCCACAGACCGCTGGGAGTCTCCCGCTCCCTGCCTTTCACCACCCCGCCCTGCAAGGAGGTCTGTCATGGATAAATATTTGCAGAGCCATGACTGGGATCAGGCTTTCACTCTTAATTGTCAGTTACATCACTTACACTCACTGGCTCACTGTGTTATAATGAAGTATTTTATGGCTGAGAGAGAGAGAGAGAGAGAGAGAGAGAGAGAGAGAGCAAGCATTGAAAAGCAAGTGAGTGGGTGAGCGAAAGAGAGAGAACAGAACACAGAGCTGTAACTTGGTTCAGTAATCTGTGGCAGCTCTTACTACGCGTGTTAGTCTTGGCAAGCTTTTCCATGATTCTTGGCACATTCTTTGAAACTGATCGAATTCCACTCTTGACATTTTCAGACAGGAAGCTTTTTTTTTTTTAATGAGAACATGTGAATGGTGGTAAAGTTTGAATGAGCTTATTGTTGGCTTGACCAGTCACCTAGGGCGAGTAAAATGAAAGCACCCCAAAAATGGACAATTAGTGTCCTTTCAAGTGGTAGCTGTGACTGCTGAGCGAATGACTGAGCGTGCCGATGGGGAAAAAAATGAGGAATTAATTATCCCTGGCAATTTTTGTTTTGAGGAAACAAACAATACTCAAAGCCTGACGACTCATTTTTGAAATCATAAACTTATCATGCTCATGCTGTTTTCAAAACAATTACAAGCTATTTCTTTGTCACACTGAAACACTCATTGCATTTTAACTTAAAGATTTTCAGAAGCACTCATTTAGACCCAGAAGCACACCTACACACAAAAGAAATAACTCTAATATATGCATTTACCAATTGTGGCTCTCTTCCCCTGCAATCAGGCCTTAGCTGCTCTCTAATTTCATGCAGATCTGCAGTGCTTGAGTGATGGCATTTTCAATGAGCAGGTACTCCATCGAGACCCTGTATACAGCTATGAGTCCCACGCTCCCGCAAAGGCAATGCAGAAATACATCAGGACCAATTACGATATCAACTTTCAGTGTGATTCCCTTTGCCACCAAGTGCTTGTGTACCAGCCCCAGGCTCTTTCAAATCGCATCTCATCTGAAGTCTTTGGGGTTTTAATTAAATTTCAGGATAGATGGAATTCTTCATTAGTACCTGATCTGAATAGGTGATTGTGCTGTGTTCCACCTCTCTCCCACGCCTGTTGTTTTGGGGCTCAGTAAATACAGGGTTTAGGCTTAGATTGCTCTCAGAAGTCAAAACCATAGGCCATGCCGGTATAAAAATGTTAAATGTGAGCATCAAGAGTATTTGTCTTTTGAGGAAGGAAGATAGGAGGTTTTTTTTTTTTGCTTGTTGATTAACAAATATTATGGATTACTTACTGCGATACAAATTCCTGCTTGATTTAGTCATGCAGCCGCTGCCTGCCTGGGAAAAATATACAAGTTTAATCAGGTCATTACAATCTGTGACAACCAACTTTTGTTTGCTCAGTTATCTTGTGGGAGAACCTGAACGCGACAGCACTCTCGCAGCACTTGTCATGTAATATTGAGTTGTGACCTTCACTTGAAGTGTTGCCATGTTTATTTACACATTTCTGACAAAACAAGCCACTTTTCATATTAGCTGTCACGATATACGTGAGCAACAGAGGTGACATGAAAGGAGACATGAGGTGCAGTTTTCTATACTGTCTGACTGTCATGTGCAACATCACACACCAGTTCGGTCGACTGGGGTGGAGGAAGTGTGAGCGCGCATGTCGTGCTCAGTGAGCATGTGTACGGTATGTTTGTGTGTGCGTGCACTCGCATTTGCCTGAAAAACTCAGGCACTATCGTGGGTTCTTAAAATGATGCATATTCTTATCTCATTAATTATACATCCATATGTAACAGACGAGAGGATCTTAGTCTCGGTAAGCGGCAAAGGGAATGTGCAGGGAGGGGGCCAGGCAAAGGGGGGAAGGGCGCTCTTCAAAGCCCAAATGACTGTGTTCCTGCAGGAGTCTGAACCTCCCTCTGTGCACAGCGCAGGGTGAGATGAGACACTCACCAGGACTCGCCCCTGTGATGTGGAGAGGAATTAGGGAAATGAATGTTTTCAGAATATCGAATAATCAGAGAATCATCAGCACTCCGTCAGCCTTCAAAAGTATGGATCCCTCAAGACTCAAGAGACACTTTGACTGGGAGTCAAAGTCTTCCCTCCCATTAGACACAAAGGATAATGAGGTAGCTGCATTTCTACTGTTGTCTTTTTATTCTCACTGCCATGTATGAGGTGACTGTCAGCTGGAAGTCATCTCTCCAAATCTATCATTAGCAGGGCTGATGGAATTCAATTTATTGTTTTCTTATTTTGTTTTCAAGTTGCTCCCATACAGAATATTATGAGCAAATCAATCATATGCCAATACCTTTGTATTCACTAGGTCTGTTCGATTTTACTCTGGGTCAATCTGTCTATGCCTCTGCAGTGGCCCTATCACCTGGCCTCATAGCAGGTAATGACCTGTGACATAATTATGGGATGTCTGTAAACATGTAAGTGGTTCCTCTCAACTTTTATTTAAACAATTGACATCACTGTGCCCCAATCTAAAGAGGGTCCTGACCCCAGACACACCGTATTAGGCTCTTTATGAAGTATGGGGCTAGGGGACCGTGCTCCAAATCATTGCTGGTCACCTCAAGTGACCTGCATGAAGTCTCTGTCACTAACACTGATGAGGGCAAAGTTCTTTAACCTCTTCATCGGCAGATAAAAGCACAGACGCTCGGTTTTGTCCAGCAACTGTTAGAGATGTGAAACCTTCCAGGTGAAACAGCTGCTCAGGGTTTGTAAAAGGTTTAAACAGCCTTGCAGCTTGTTGCTCAGTCGGCATGTAGGCGAAAGTGCTCAGCAGCGACTGCTGGCATGACACTGACTTTGGTTGTTTGTCAATAACATTTTCATCAGCAAGGATTTGTCATAGCCATAGTCTGGGCAAGCTGTCATCTACCCACCAGTGACAAAGCGATATCAATATATACCATGCACATCATGAGACCAAATCCAAGCTATATCAGGGAGGAGAGTGCATAAAAGAAATTTCAGGGGTGTATCTTATCTCCTCATAACATTAAGTCTGTCTGCGTAAGAGCCCGTCATCTCGGTGACAGCGTGATTATTACCTGAAAAATTATTAAACAGTACCTACGGGCCTTGTTCAAGACAAAGAACTCACATGGGTGCACATCAATCAAATGTATCCCCTTTAGGTTTTACACTTATTCCCCCCAGTTTAGGCAAATTGCCTTGTTCGCATGGCTTTGTGTTGCGGAGAGTGACTATAAGGTAGAGAGGGAGCCTGGGGAGCAAAGGATGTTCACTCTGTAGAAGAGAGACAGGGGTGTGACATGTTTTCACACAATGCCAATTTAGAGGGATTTCTCATAGATCACTTGTCATGTGCTCTCTTAGACCATATAAATGAGAGAGAATGGGAGATCACTAATTGAATTTTTATGACTGAGTACATGTATATACTAGAAGAATTTCACCCCCTCTTGATAACGAGACTATTGTTCCCCATCTTGTTCTGTGCACACACACAAAAAAAAGTAAAAGTGTTCACTTGCTTTGTAAGCTCGGTGCATCAGTGTCTTAAGGTTTTGAGATGCTTCACATATTTTCTCATCATCTTTAGCAATCAGAGCTAGGCAAACATGCCTCTCAGTCACTGCCTGGTAAGCCAGAAAAAAAGATAATGCTACTGCTAAAGTGCTAATGAAATCAAAGCTGTTAATGTGGTCGGTTAAGCTGCGGATGATTTGAAGAATTCCGCCATTTAAGTGAAGATGATATAATGAATCTACTCTGAATAGAAAGCAATTAAAAGGACAAATTGGTCTGATTAACCTCAAAGTCATCCCACTGCCACAAATGGTGAGCAACATTCAAATTATTATTATTAAAAATCTGGAGCAGATTTGCAGTCTTTTTGGCCTCTCTTAATCCTTTTAAATGAAGGAGCGAACTTTTTTAATTTTAGCTGTGACCTTTCAAAGTATAACCTAGATTTTTGCTGCCATAGATATAATTTTCTCACATCAGCTACTCTAACATGTTAATACTAGTTCTAAGGTCAAATTGAGTGACTTCTATGCATTAAGTTGTATAATGAGAATTGTAAAGGAAAAAAGGGACTCACACCGAGCCCCTTTGAAGAAGAGTTAGACCTCAAACAGGGATAAAAGCATTAAGTGGTTCAAAATGCAGCGTCTCAAACTTTTGATTTCAATTCAAAACACTGGTTTATTTGAACAGAGTACAATCCATGATGTACTAAACCATTGTTGAAATCAGCCTCAGTCAGTTGTCTTGAGTTTGATTCATTATTGAGCGCTTGTCTCTTTCTCTGTTGCCTCTCACGTTTCTGCTATCTCCTCTGCTTTGTGGCCAAGATGCATTCACTAGCCGCGTGTTGCACGTACTTCTGAGGGATGTGAAGTTTGGAGAGACCGTCTCATATAAACGCCTCGCTGAGATGGCGGGAAACCCCAGAGCGGTGAGGGCAGTGGGAGGGGCCATGAGGAGGAACCCGGTGAGTGCAGATAACATTGACTGACAGGCTTCTCTCTTACTAACTTTATATAGTCAAATAGGAAAAAAGATTGTGTTGTATTTGCTTTTAGTGGTTATTGCATCTGAAGCTGTGTGTTGACAAATGGTCCAACAGTAAAGCTGCCTATAGTCAAAGGTTAATTAGTAATTTTATAAGGTTATTAACTGAGGAATTTGATAAGTAGTACTGTGACGTAATTGATAGTATTAAATTCAAAACTGCAACAACTGGAATATTGTTAAAGCTTTATACAGTTTGTCATTTTTTGTCATCTTTAATTGGTTTGAGTCACTTTTTCAGGCACAGGTTCCAGTGATCCTGTGACTGCAGCTTGTAAAAGATGAGGATTTGCTGCTTTCTCATTGTCGACATAAAAGCTTTTGGTTTAGGACTTTTGGCTGTAAAGAACAAGACATTTATAATCATCACCTTGGAAACTGTGACTGACAATTCTCACTGTTTTCTATGGTTTTATAGCCTTACTCTATAAAACATCCGAATTAAATTGATCAGTCAGGAAAATAAATGTCAGTTGATTTTAAAAATAAATCAGCAGTTGCCGCTCTACATAAATATTCTTAAATAGTGGATGATGTGAAATAATCATACATGAGTTGCAGTAGATTTAAAGGTTTTACATCAGTGTCTTATCTTGTAGTTGAAAATTAAAGTTTGGAATAAGTTTAAATGAATGAATTGAATAAATAAACAAATATAGAAACGAATGAATAGATAAAAATGTCATTCTGTGTACAGTTAAACATATGACTAAATAATCACTGAAAATAAAAAGTGATAACATATAGAAGAGAGGCCTTTAAAAACAAGTTCTATAAGCTGCAGGAGCTTTCCCTGATGTAGGATATGCAATCCAAACTGTAGGTGTGATGGTGAAATAAACGCCCCCTTTGAGAAAGGCTATGAAGTGAAGCTCTACCTGCTGCATGATTTTAAGCCCACACCTTTTGCTCCTCTTCACTGTAGATGTTTGCTGCAAATTTCCATGTCTTGTAGGAAACCTGGCCCACATCATTTTGCCCATGAATCCACTGTGTACAAAATGGAGGGCTAGAGGGCAAGTGGTGTGTCTTCTTTTGATCAAACCCTTTGATCAAAGCCCGTTTAGCTCTGCCCGTGTAGTGCTGTGGGCACCACCGGTGTGCTCCGTGAGGCAGAGAACACTTCTTGTACAGAAATGCAGCCAGTGAGATGTTCTCCCTCACTCCCTCGTATGTGACTTGTGTACATCCTTATCTTATTACTGTTTTTTTTTTTCTGATGGCATTTTGTAACTAAACTATAGAAGTAATTTGTAAAGACAGAAAGCAGTTTATAACAGAAAAAATACAGATAAACCAAAAGAATAAATTTTTGTTTTTGATGCTATGCGGTACTTTCTCTGTACACTTTCTTTATATGTTACATTAGCCAATGGCATTGCTTCTGGATGGCTGCATACTACTTCTCACTCTCGTGTTTTACAGACATTTCTTTCGTCAGGGAGGCTGCGAGCCTGAGCCCTCAGCTCCTGAAACAGATCCAGAGTCAGATTGTCAGTGTCAATTACTTGTCAGTAGTGCTGCCCCACTCGGGCTTCAGCTGTGAAAAGCTCAGTGTGCTCAATCGATCCTTGCCTCTCTGTGGCACTTCTACTTCACCAGGATTTGAGTATTGATAAGCCTGGTGTAGTGCTCTTTTCCCTCCAAGTGAAGAAGCAGAGCCGAAGGCCTTTAGGGTACCCTGCTCTGCCTCCAAACCCGGGGAACAATATTGATCCGAATACTCGAGCAGTATTTCTCTGTCTGCAAGGTTAATCTGGGGCTCTGAAAGTTTTATTGCTGTTGATATGGGAGCGGGTTTAATGATGGATTTGAACTGAAACACACTGCATGTCTAACTTTTATATAAAAGGCTTGAGGTGCAGCCATCAAGCCAGGATAACTTGGCTAATTGGAGAAATACAGTCACAATGGTTGTGATGGTTTTATGTTTAGTGTAACAAGAACACCGTGAAGGCAGTATTAAGAATATTCCTAAAGAAATATTCAGTCCAACCATTGCCATTCTTCTTGTACTGAATTCACAACTATCGAAGTGTTTTAGACTTGCTTGTTTAATCTTTCTCCAGCCATTTAGTTTACAAAGAACTTGGGACCCCCCTGGCAGTCATCTGCAACAAGAGTAAACGCTCCACCGACTTCCTCCTTTTAATGATCACAGGGTTATCAGATCCTAATGTTGACACCCTCTCGATTGAATATTCATCCTGCTGGTGTTTTTGCCCATTAATTTTTGATTGCTTCTTTGCTTTACACTATTAAAGAGTAAAAAACATTTATACCCAAAGACTGAACCATCACCCTGAATGTGAATTTGTGCAGGATCAAACCAGACACTTTTTGTGCAGCGCTTTGTTTTCATGCAGTGCATGAATATAAAAAGCCCCCCAAAAAAGTGCAGATTCATATTTTCTGCACGTTGGTTACTTTTAAGTCCCACTGTTTTTGTGGTAAATCAGAGATTCTTTCATACATAATACATATCTACTATCAACACCTCCAACTGGTGTGTTGCTGTGACGATGTCAACTGTAGAATAAGAAGGCAGTTGATTTTGAAAGCTCCAAATTATATATCTCTTTATACAAATATTAGGTTTACACTAAGGCACAGTTTTTTGTTAACAGACATTATTTTCAAAGTTTAAAATGTGCATTTGGAAAATATGCTTTTTTAAAACTTTCTTAATGAGCTTATAAAGTGGCAAAACAAAGCAAAAAGCAAGTGTATTTAAAGTTTCCCTTTGCATGTAAAAAGTGTTCTTGCATAATAATTGCAAAGGTTGTTTAGGTTTATCTCCTCAGAGCTGAATTCCTGTCTCTGTTGTCAGCCAGGTTCCTCTCCTCATCCCCTGCCACCGAGTCATTTCTAGCAATGGACAGAGTGGGCCGTACATGAGCGGCAAGGGCGACCATCTCAAACAATGGCTTCTCACCCATGAGAGGCAGAGAGGGGAAGGCTAAAGCATGACAGAGGCCAAGTGTCCTCCACCAAATTTTTTTTTTTTTTTTTTTTTAAAGAACACAAAATAGGGCCATAAAGTTTTAGCGTGCTTGGCACATACTGTGGAACAACTGGAGCTACTGGTAAATATTCAGTTTAAACTCCTTTTTTTGCAAATCTAATAATAGAGATGGTGCATAGTTAATGTGATATGGAGTTGTTGCAGAATTAGAATGTACAAAAATAACTTAAACAGAGAACAGTAGGAATTACAAACATATGCTCCCGTGGGTCTCCACTGCGTTTGCCAGATAGTGCTGGAATGGTTTTTCTAAAGAATTATTATTCCCTTAAAAATATGTCTCTTGCATTGTTGTTGTTGTTGTTTTCCTAAGCAGAATTAGTCTTTGTACCTCTCGTTGGTTTTTTTAATTTCCTGCCAAGTGAATGCTTTGTTCAACATCCAGTGATAAAGGCTCTGAATTTTCCTGCTACAAAGCTTTGTAGTGAAGCATTTGTTTTGTCTTCATTTAGATGTCGTTGTTTGCTCAAGCCTTATAATCCACCTAGAGTGGAGATGTCTTATGCATTATATAGAGCACTTTTGTTACATTAGACATGTTTAAATAAATGCATCTCAAAATGACAAATCCTGCCTTTTCATCATTATAATTGTATTTAATTTAAAAATTGATTTCATGTAGCGTTCACTCAGTTCAGCTCATAATTAATTATGCTGTATGTCGTCTCGCTGCAGCTCTGTATGTCAGGGCTCCTTTTATTTCTGAGTAGTGTTTTCCATTAGAGGGCAGTACAGAACGGGAAACTGAAATCAACATTTCAACCTTGAATTCATCCTGCACATTTGATTTTTAACTTAAATGTTTGCATGTTTTATTTTCATCACAATCCAGTTTAGTCCCTTTGGCATAAATTATTCTATCCTAAAAAGGCCACATGGAGAGAGTGACATTGATGGAGTGTGTTTGGAAAAATCTGTTGCTTTAATTGAATATATGCAGTACTTTTATTTTCTATATTTCCACTCAGTGATCTCCTGTAACATTGATAGTTTAGCCCCCCACTCCACTAAATTCTTGATTCTCCTCACTGTCTGGTGCAGCTCCAGAATGACCCTTGCTTGACCATAGTTATTCCTCTTCTGTTCAGCCCAGGTAGCTTAATAACACACCCTCCAGAAATAACCTCTGCTCTAACCTTTCCAGAACCATTTGAAGTGGCCCGCTTGCGCAGAATACATTTGAACCTCTGCATTTTAGAATTTCTTATCCGAACAGCTCCGTGCAACTGTCTTGCAGAGCTGCTGGACTCACTCTGCCGTTGGAGCACTATTGCAGCGTAGATGTTGAGGCAGCAGACAGGCAGATGAAGAATGAGACTCAGTCTGTGGTTTCACAGAGGGCTAATGATGCCTGTGGTGACTACAGGCTACAGTCAGCCCCCTAACGAAGGGAACTGTGACACAGCCACAAGGGGTCCCATTTAAGCCAGGCACACTCTGAAGTGCACTGTAAGCACCCTCCTTTTTTGCTTGTGGCTAAGTCAATTCTATCGAATGTTAAAATTTAGCAACCAGAGATTCTGATGTCTGTAGAATTATGTGGCTAATGTTAAAAACAAGTTCAGCATCAAAGCTTCATACATGCCAACAGTAGTTGTCCATGTAATTGCATACAGGGAAACTCTTTAAAATAATTCTCACCTTATATTTTCTCAATTTCTACATTGTCATGGTATTGTAATATTTATCACTAATAATAGCTGTGTTATTATTGTGTGTATTTAGTATTTTGTGGTTGCATGTTCACCTTGTGTACCACTTCCGCATCATGCTGGCTCAGAGATAAAAAAGGAATTAGATTAAAAGAGGTTGAGACGATCTCATCATCCGCACTGTTAATCTCTGTGAAACGTTTAATTTTGGCCTAATATCAGCCTCCATTACAGACAGAGACTTCATGTGTGCGTGCGTGTGCGCGTGAGCATGTGGCCATGCGTTGTTGGTGTGTGCACATGTGTATGTCCATATGTGTGTGGGTGAAGTGGATGATATTGAGTCTGACTTCATAAATCACCCAGACACTGATAAACTCCCCATGCACCCACACACCGCTAATGGGCAACCCTTAAGGAGTGTGAGTGTCTCGTGCGGCGTTTGATTCAACATTTATTAACCCCCTCACACACACTCTCACTCTCACATATGACACACACTCATTTGAGCCCCAGAAAGAGCAAGGATATGGTTGGTGGCATTCGTAGCATTAGTGCAGGGGTTTGACCTGGCCGAGTTGTATTAATCATGGAGGATAGTAGTAAGATACATTTTAGCTTATACAGCCACAACAACAACAACAACAGCTGCATTTCCTAACATTAGTTTCCTTCTCATAACTTATATCCTGTCTCCAACTCCCCACTTCCCATCTCATATCCTGGCACCCCTCCTCATTATAGAACAATTTTCTGCCCCCACATCAAATACCAACGCTCTGTGCTTCCATCTCTTGCTCTCCATACGTCGGCTCATAATTCTGCTGTTATCACAACCTGCACCCCTTGGTAGAAGTCGCTAGCTTAGTGGGAATCTTGCAGAAGTTAATCCAGCAGCCACTTCCGTGATTCATAAATAGCTCCTTTTATTAT